TCAAAAGGACAGCAACTTGTCTGTTCCCCTCCCCCAATTCCCTAAAAAAAAAAAAAAAAAAAAAGCTACCAAAAAATGACTCCTGGGAATTTCCTCACACCAGGTCCCTGGCCTCTTTTAGGTTTATCTTCCATCCACACTGTTCTCCCCAAAAACATACTATTGCTTTAAAAAAACCTTGTCACGCTGGTAATGCTTAAATTAAGTACAAAACTCAAGGAAGTTGACAGATTCACCAACTTAGAATACAAAGTGACACAAGGAGCTCAAGAAGCAGTATCATTTGAAAGAACAAGTCACCAGGCAAAACATCAGCCCCTTGGCCAGTTAGCTCAGTTGGTTAGAATGCAGTGCTCATAACACTAAGGTTGCCAGTTCAATCCCCACGCCCTCCACAACTAGAATTAAACAACTACTTGACTTGGAGCTGATGGGTCCTGGAAAAACACACTGTTCCCCAATAAAGTTTTAAAAAAACAAAAACAAACAAACAAGCAAAAAACACCAGCCCCTGTGGGCAACAGGATTCGTCTCATTTCTGACCTCGGTCGGGCTCTTTGTCCATGACTATCTTGTAGAAATAGAAGCCGTAAATGAAGGTCCGCCAGACTTCCCCAGATGCGTGAGTGATGAGCTGCTCTTCAAGCATTTTCTGGAGGGAGAGACGTTGAAAACTCTGAAATTGCTACAAAGAGACATCTTAGAGGTGCAGCTCTCATTATGCGCTGGAGTCATGACAGTCATGACAAGGGAATGCCAGGGGCACTGAGGAGACCTTCCCCTCCACCTCCACCAGCCATGATGATTGCTATTAAATGTTGTGCCTGGTGTAAATGACTTTATGAAGTACAAATGCATATTATAACATCATCAGATATTTCAAACATATAGAAAAGTATAAAGAAAGTTTAAGTATACCACCATCTGATTTCAACAAATTTAACATTTTGCTACACTGACCTCAGATCATTTTACTTAAAAAAAAATCTCTATGGACTCTCCAAAATCCCAATCCTCTCTCTCTAATGAGTGTTATTCTCATGCACATTTTTAATAATTTTATTACATACACAAGTATTGATAAAGAATAGGAAGTATTTTTGTGGGATTCTAAATTCTAAATAAATAATTTATCATTTTGTAAATTGGATTTTCACTCAACATCATGCTTCTGACATTCATCCATGGTGATGCGTGTACCTTCAGCTCATTGATTTTAACTGCTATAGTAGCATTCATTGTATGAACAAGGAAGGATGATTATCACGGATTTGAAAATATAATCAGGCAAAGGCCATGCAAACAGCCTATTAAGACCCTCAAAGAGAGAACTGAGGACTGCATGCTTATTCAAATCAGTTACTGATTTACATGTCAGTGATGACAACCCAGCTGGTCAGCAAACAGTATGGATTTCCAGTGGGGGCCTCTGTGTGGATGGGATGGTCTAACAGCCTCAGCCAACTCGACCTTTCCATTCCTCTCCTCTCAAGTTTAATTCCAGCTCTGAACAGTGTAATTAAATTTAGCAAGTGTTTGCTAAATGCCTACCGTGTGCCAAACAAGCCAGGCGCTGGTGATATGGAAACGCACCGTGAGAGCTGACCCTGCCCTCAAGGAGCCTGGCTGAGGTGGGAGGTGACTGAGATATATGCAGAATCTTCACTCTGTTGTGTTAAGAGCTCTGACAGAAGGGCCGGCCGAGTGGCTCAGTTGGTTAAGAGCTCGCTCAAGAGTTTGAGCTCTGAGCAACAGCGGTTCGAGTCCAGCCCGAGCTGAGCAGCCGCTGAGCTGCCAACAGGTAGCAGGATGGCTCAGCTAAAAAAAAAAAAAAAAAAAAAAAAAGAGCTCTGACAGAGTGAGTACAGGGCACCAGGAGGTCCCTGAGGCAGAGCCTTGAATCCAGCCTCCCGTCCAGAGCAGGGGAAAATGGGGGCTCAAGGTCAGAGGGAGGGCATTCCCTGGAAATCTTTCACAGAGATTCCTCTGAGGTTCAAAAGTGCAGATTAAAAAAAAAAAAAAAGTGCAGATTCCTTTCAGAATATTTCAGATCAGACAATAAATTCTGCCAGGTTTTAAGTCAAGGTTCCCTGTCTTTCAAACCAAGACCTGCTCGTTCATCAATTCCAGACAGGCCTCACACTTATTAAAAACAGACCCTCGCCCCAACCTGCAGACCTCATTACTAGAAAGGGCGGCTGCTTCAGAGACAGGCCCTGGTTTCACAGTTCTGCAGGACCTGCCATAGCGGTCTCACCTGCATGATGTCGATGGCCATGGCCGGCGTCTGCACCCCCTCCACATTGTTCACCATCCAGTGCACCACCTCGGCACTGATGAAGCAGCACGGTGAGAGGCCCTTCTGCTCAGAGAGCAGCTGGACTCCTGTCCTGAGTTCCAACATGGCGGGCAGGGAGCAGGGCATGTGTGGGCACAGTGGCAATAAGCAGAAAGAGAAGATGACAAAAAAGGGACTCCCATTAAGCATTTACTATCTGAAGTGAGGATCCCCATAGTGCAATTTCTCTACACTATTTCTAGACCCAGAGAAATCCCCATGACAGAACAAAAAATGATGTGATCAGGGGCAAGGGGGTAGAAGAAGGAAAAAGGACCTGACATTTAGACAATATCTATACTTGTAAGGTATTATACTAGGTATTTTACATAATTATTTCATTTAATCCTTATATCAACCCCATGACTTAACTATTTTACATTATTCCATTCTACAAACAAGGTAATAGAGACTCAGAGGTCAAGTAACTTGCTCAAGGTCTCACGGCGAGTGAGCAGTAGAGTCAAGTTATGAATCCACCTAACCATAGTGCCTGAGCATCACCCCAGCTTGGGCCTGTGGGATTCTCCTGCCCCTGTACTCATACATGTGCCAAGCCACTTACGAGGGGTGCTTCATGGCTTCCAGGATCTCCACCAGGGGAGAGGACGACGTCAAGGAGCTTGCCGTCAGCTGCTGAGAGCTGTAACACAGAGTGTCTGGTCAGCAAGGCAAGAGGGCACATGCATGGTCAAAAGAGTGACTCTTAGGAAATTCATTCCACTTTTCACGAGCTGGAAACTAGGACGACATTGCCACTGAAGGCATTCCAGCAAATTCTGGATAGCTACATCCCGGGGATACCTCACAGGGGGCTCTATTTCCAAAATGCACGTTAAAAAAAAAAATTCAAAGTGGTTTTGTGTCCACAGCTGCTTATCCTTAATAGACGTCAAAGACCTGGGAAGCGTCAGGGTCCAGATTTGAATCCAGGTCTGATTAACTCTAGAGCCTAGATAAAGATCTATTACCTGCTGCCTGAGTTCTTCCTCCATGGTATGGCGATCCCTTAAACATGCTTAATTCTCAGCAATTGATCCTAGATCTCTGGGCATGGGACACACATGGTCACCTACCATACCAAATCTAGGCTTATCTGGAAGTTCCTCAAGCTCCTTAAATCTCTCCCTTTTCTCAGTCCTGGCCTCCTCTTCCTATTTAGAGGGTTCAGGATCCACTGCAGCATTTCAGAATCTCAGGGTTTAAAAAAAAAAAAAGCCTTTAAAAGACCCTGGAAATGAACTTCCTTCTAATGCCCGAGTTCCTGCTACAAAAGTCTGAACAGGAGGCTGTATCATCTCTGTGAACATCTTTCATGGCACAGACCTCAGCTCCTGTGGCAGTACCAACTGCTAGTAAGTTCTTTATCATGAAATGGAATCTGGTCTCTGTACCTTTCAGTCATCGATCCCTAATCGTGTCATTTTTAGTCTCATCTCCAGCCTAAACAACCCCCAGTTCTTCTTTTCTTCCAAAAGCAGCAGAAAACTTGCCACTTCACCCTTGTAAGCAATAAAGAAGCAGAGAAACGCACTCCCTTCCAATGCACCAGGCAGCCCCTCCAACCTCCCCCATGGCCAGCGCTGAAAAGTCAGCCAGACTTGGTGGGGATTTGGGTCTGGGGAGATGACAGAGACTAGAGAAGCCCAGGCCTACCTGTGCCTCTGGTCAGAGAGAATGAGCTGCAGTGCATGAGACACGGGAAAAAACCAGCACAGAATGTACGACACGCCTCTGAGATTAGACCTTCCCCACTGCCCAGGAGCACAATTTTGGCTGTTCCGAATCTCACCTGCTGTCACTGGGGTTTGTGGAGGTGAAGCCCTGCTCCCCTGAATTCTGAGAGTTCCCAAAGGTCTGGCTGTTGCCTCTGTCCACGGATTGACCTGCGCTTACCCCCAAAGTGGTGCCGTCCAACATTGGGACAGCAGTCTGGTCCACAGATACCTGGAAGAGATTTTAAAATTAACACCAAAAAACCAAAACATTCTTTAAGGCTAATTATATTCGTGGCCTTTTCCGTTCCTCTCTCACTCCCAGTCCCGCTGGGGAAGAGCTGAAGGAGTTTAGGGACCATACCCAGTCCTGTGTGCACTACCTTCTATCAGAGCAATAGGAATTGCTGTGCTCCAAACCAAGGTTGACAGAAGGCCACCATTCACAGTAAATCCCCAGGACCAGAGACATGGTTCCAGCACCTGACTCAAGCCACAAGGTTTACACTAAAGAAAAACCTCCATGGAAAGTAAAGAAGGCAAAATCATTCCTTACGATGAGATTGGGAGGAGGGAGAGAAAACACAATTAGAGACAAACGGTTGAGTATTGCAGCAGACACCTTCCACTTACCATGGCTCACCCTTTCCCACCCAATTCTCCCTTCCTGTGTCTGTCAGTGGTACAACCAGTCTCCTAACTGCCCAGGCTCAAACCTCAGGGGCATCTGATCGCTCCCTTCTCCAGCTTCACTCTGAAGAGAAGCCTTGTCCTGTGTCCTCCCGTCTGCCAACTCACATGCCTCTCCAATTCATGCCCGTTCCACCACTCTCACCAGGCCCACATTTCCTCCCACCCCAGAGGGCTGTACTAACTGACTCCTTTGACTATAGCCTCTCCTCCGACAACCCTACCTGTGAGTCACCTCCATTTTCATCTTCCTAAAGGACAGTTCCAATCCCATCATTCTGTTACTCTGAAATCTTTCAAGACTCCCCACGAGAAAAGACTTGCAGGAGTCCTCCAGACATAGCCCAACCTGTGATCCCACCGCACTGCCTCCCATGTGTATGTTCCTAGCCAAACCAAACACTGTGTTTTTAATCTTGTCTGCGTGCCCTGCCACCCGAATAGTCCCTTTCCCACAACCCAGGCTAAAAATCCATCAGTTTCCAAGGGCCATTTCAAACACCACTCCCTTAGTAAAGTGTTTCCTGAACTGCTCTGCCCCAGCCCCCAAACAGAAGCCATCTTTCTCTTCACTTTGGATCTCTATGACCCTTCCTGGTAGCTGCTGGATTTCGGTGTCATATCTGTCTCATTCCCTTTAAATGTCCTGGAGAGCAAGACTATGACCTGCTCACCTGAAAAGGCTACACCCCACAGCAAATATCTGCAGAGAATGGTAAGCTTTCCAGAGCATTTCTGGAAAATTTTGAGACTCCTAGTCCCTCTTACGCAAGGGACTCGGAGTACTTGAGTACTTCTAGAATGGAGCCTTATACATTATCAGATATTTTGTTAGATGATGTAAAAATCACTCCACCTAAGACTGGGAGTCTCAACCTCAACACTATTGCCACTTGGGGACAGAAGTCTGTTGTGGGGGGCTGTCCTGTGTATGATGTAGAGCAGCATCCCTAGCTTCTATCCACTGGATGCCAGTAATATCTACTCTTATCACCTCCCCTCACCCCAGATGTGACAAATAAAAATGTCTCCAGCTATTACCAAATGTCCCTTGGGAAGCAAAATCGCCCATGGTTCTGAAGGAACCCTTTTGCTCTCTTACAGAAGGCTCAGTGATTTGCAAAAAAGGACCACAGAGACTCTGCCAGCACCATAAATACAGAGAAATGCAGTCAGAGGCAGCTTGCAATTACCAATCACCATCTGCCTCTAACCAGCAAGACTTAGGAACAGGTAGTACATTGTAATTTTAAATTAGAAGACGCTAATTGAAGAGGACTAGACCCAGGTCTTAGGCACATAAGAGTGGCTCTTATGTGCTGCCTTGTAGGTCCCTATAATGGGGTTATCTATCATATACTGCACCCTGAGAACTGCCCCACCAGCCTAAACTGCAGGATGTTACCAAAATTTACATGATCCTTGCTGTTTTATTTTAGTAGAGATGTGGTTAAGGAGTTATTCTCTAAATCAGAAATTGGCAAACATTTTCTGTAAAGGACCAGATAGTATTTTTAGGCTTTCTGGGCCAAATGGCCTGTCAGAACGACTCAATTCTGCACAAAAAACCCCCACAAAAGCAGCCATCGACAATGTAAATGAATGGGCATGGCTCTGTTCCAATAAAACTTTATTTATAAAAGCTGATAGTGGGCCAGATTTGCCCTAGTTTCCTGACCCCTGCTCTGTCTCACAATGTCCGTCTTTCAAGAGGCTGCACAGAAAGGCATTCTGCTCAGATCTTTATACCAGGAAAAGTTATTTTTGGTTTGTCTTTATCTTATAACCACTGTGAATCCTGCAACAGATGTTTCCCACTTTTCTTTGGTTACCAGGAAGTTCAGGGCTGAATTTAGCATGAAACTCTAGGTACTTCATAAGACCTCATGTTATGTGTTATCTTGTTTTTTCATTTCCTGTATTTCCCCTGAATGTGAAAATCTAGTTGCATTCTTATTTTGGAGGTTGCATTTACTTTCATAATCCACCCAAAGTAAGTTTTTAGAATAAGACCAGTGGAAAACAAAAAGACAATGAAGGCTAGATGGACAGAGTGCAGTCTTCTCACACAGAGACCTGGAAAGAGCCAAGCGGAGGGAGGTGCTTGGTCTCAGATGCGTTTCATCTTAGGAATCTCATCCAAAATCTTCCTCAGAGGATTCCATTTAACCTGTGTAGATACTCCCCTTTTCATAAAGTGGAGTTTAATCCCCCCCTCCTCTTTTGACTGAGCTAGATTTAGTGACTTGCTTTAAAAGAATAGAGCATAGAAAGGGAAAAATAGTAAATTCATAGTGGCGATAGCTGGAAAATACTGCATCACCAAGTGACAAAGATTTAAGACTTACCAGTGATGTGTAAGTCTTGTGTACCCCCTGATATGTGTTGAGTAATGTACCTCACCTCTGTGGTATTCTTTTCAAGAACCCATAACTCCAGTCTAACCATAAGAAAAACATCAGACCAATTCAGATTTGGAGACATTCTATGGCATACGAGGTGTGATCAAACAATACAGTGAATGTTTAAATAAAAAAATTTATTACACTAAAAGACACATTGCCATTAATACCCCTCAAAATACACCCCCTTGCTTCGAACATACTTGTCTTCATCGTTCTTGCCACTTTCTGAAGCAGTTCTGGAAGTCCTCTTTTGTGAGTGTCTTTAGTTGCGCTGTCGTGGCTGCCTCGATGTCCTGAATCATTTTGACTTTAGGGAAGAGCCAGAAGTTGCATGGTGCCAGATCCAATGAATAAGGTGGATGCGGGCACAACGTAATGTTTTTATTTGACAGAAATTGCCATATACCAGAAGTGATGTGTGACACGGAGCGTTGTCATAATGGAGCATGATTTACAGCACACTTTAAAACACACCTTCTCTCAACTGCAGCTCACATCTGACTGACTATACCTAACAAGCTGAAACTTGTCACACACTCTTACTTAGGTTTGACGCACAGCTTCCCATATTGAAGATCCCTGCCTTTCCATTGGATGGCACGTGGCAGCAGCATTCACCATATTTTGTGATCACAACGGGAAGACTGTATGTCACACATCACTTCTGGTACAGCAATTTCTGTCAAATAAAAACATTTCGGTGTAGGGCCAGCCAAGTGGCTCAGTTGACTAAGAGTTTGCTTAAGAGCACAAGCTCTGGGCCGGCCGAGTGGCGCGATGGTTAAGAACTGGCTTGCGACACCAGAAGGCCCCGGTTTGGATCCCACATATGAGGGCCAGTGACACTGCCCTCCACAGCTAAGATGCTGAACAACAGCTCAACCTGGAGCTGGGCTGCCGTGAGTCGCCGGCGACGGCGTAGGCTGCAGCCCCTGTGGCAGTGGGTTGCCATGGGCTACCACTGTGAGCGGCAGTCCAGAAGCCGGTGACTGATCTGCCTCGCCCGGGAAGAGCGTAATGATGGTGCCAACTTGGGCCAGTGAAGCAACATCCTCCACAACTAGACTGAAGAACAAAACGACGGCAACTTGTCTGTTCCCCTTCCCCCAATTCCCCAGCACTGTTCCCTTCCCCCCAATACCCCAATAAAAATCTTAAAAAAAAGAGCACAAGTTCTGAGCAACAGGGTCACTGGTTTGATTCCCACATGGGCCAGTGAGCTTCACCCGAGCTGCGCCTGAGCTGAGCTGCCAACAGGTGGCAGGATGGCTCAGCTGGTGAGAGCATGTGCTCCTAATGACAAGATTGCCTGTTCGATGGTGGGTTATACCCATCCACAGCTGGGACTGAACTCAGTAGCTTGAGCTGAGCTGCCGCCTGGATGGCTCAGTGGATAGAGCGTGTGCTCTTAACAGCAAAGTTGCCGGTTCGTCTCCCGCATGGAAGAGAAAAACAAAAACATTTCAGTGTGTTCTCCTCTACCTTATTCACCAGATCCGGCACCGTGCGACCTCTGGCTCTTCCCAAAGTCAAAATGACCATGATAGGTAAATGTTTTGAATTGATTCAGGACATTCAGGCAGCCATGACAGCACAACTGAAGACACTCAGGAAAGAGGACTTCCAGAACTGCTTCAGAAAATGTTAAGAACGGCGGGATAAGTATGTTCAAAGCAGGGGGGTAGTATTTTGAGGGGTATTAATGGCAATGTGTCTTTTACTGTAATAAATTTTTTTTTTATTTAAACATTCACCGTATTGTTTGTTCACATCTCATATCTGGCTAGGACTCCTCAAGACTATCGAGGCCATAATAAACAAGATGAGAAGCTGTCACAGACCAGAAGAGACTGGGGAAGGCATGACTACTAAATGCAATGTGGTGCCCTGGGTTAGATCCTAGAAGCACAACAAAAAACCATAATAAACAAACTGGTGAAATCCAAATAAAGTCTGGCATTTAGTTAAACAAACCAACCAACCCTCATCAGCAACACCAATCACCAGTCTCCTCCCACTTTCCCATACACTCAAAGCTGTGGGAGAAGGTAAGGGAGGGAGCTCTGCCAGGGATGCCTCTGAGATTAGCACCAATCATAAGAGGTGCCCCCACAAGCCTCCAACCTATGTGCCTGTC